AAACTGTAAATTATACAATAATCAGATTTTAGTAATATAATGGAAATGATTAAAAATCATAAACAATGAAATTTGGTGTTAAAGAGGGTGATAAAAAATTGCAGGAGTTATTAATTTTATGAAAATAGAGAAAGATATTCGGAGAGAGAGAGAGAGAGAGAGGAAGAGAGAGAGTGAGAGGATAAAGAGCTGAGAGTAGGAGAGATAAGACTTAAAAATCGGATTAACCGACATCTGGCGATGTGAGGCATCGTTTGTAATGTGTAAACCACAACTATGACAATAATAGAGACACTTTCAGTCCAATATACCGTAACAGGGATATTAGTATTAGCGGGGATACCATCCTAATTAGCATATATCATCAAAATAAGGATGAATTAATGACAGTGTGGAAATTTCACTTTTATCATATATCACATATAATTGAATCATTGACACTCATTAATTTATAACTCATTTCCGAGTTTCTTTTTTTTTTGTAAACTGAACGATAATACAATTAATTCAATGTTGACTGCTTTACAATTTCTATATCCCTAAATCTTCGTTCAATTAAATTATTTTTGTGAAACTAAAACTGTTAAAATTTGTTAATTTCATTCTTGTGGATAGCGTTTTGCAATCGAAAAAAAAAGCGATGCTATTTGAATGATTAATTGCATAAATCCCCTATTATACAAGTAAGCTTTAAAAAAGAAAAAATATTAACAGAAATAAGTGATTAAAATTATTGTGTTAAAAAGAAATAAACTTTTTTATCGATTAGCAGAATGGAAGAAAAAAGGAAAAATTATGGCAAAAAAAAAATTGAAATCATTTAGAAATTGTGATATTATTTCATTTTTGCTCATTCCATTAATTTCTTCTTCCCTTCGCTTTTCTTTTTTTCTAAAAAACCATAAACCACCCACCAAGCAGATAAAGCTATGCTATGTTACCACATGCTACGCTCTATATCACTCTACTCGTATATTATAACTGAAAGCTGAAGGAATTAGTTAAATTACCCAAAAGTTTCCTTCTTTTATTATCAAAAGAAAAAAAGAAGAATGTCAATTCAAATTAAAAATTAATATTGCCTCAAAGTTTAAATGAATGAATACGAATGGAATCAAAGTTTACTCGTTCTTTAAGTAGAGAGTATGTGAAAGAGAATGAATAAATAATTTTGTTGGTTACTTAAGTTAGGCAGGTGGAATTTTTGAGCTGTCATAGAGGATGAAGGGAGGAGGAAGAAAAGTCATGAGATTTTATACGTGACACGAAAAAGCGGTATTTGATATTTTTGGAAAATTAAAATATAACTTCAAAACATTTCGATTTGCACTTAGCGGATTTGCACTTAACTGAAACCACAGTTAATGTTCTTCGCACACATTTAAATAATATCGGAACCACATAAAAATTTATGCCTAGATGTTACCTCAAATTTTTTTTTCACATCCAACATTTCGAACGAGACTGACTCCTTCAGCTTGTTTAACGATCATTGATGACTTTATAATGGAGAATGAAAATTTGAAACAAGTGATGAATTTGAGCGGTAAAGGTTAAATCACATACCGATAACACAAATATAATCTTAACTTTTTAGTGGTTTGTCAAGATGAAAAACTTTTAGTTTTCATTTCAATTCTAAATTGCACAAATAATCTGCAATAATGGAAATAATGCAACACACTGATGGAGAATACATATTATTTATTTAATAAAATATCAGAAACACTGATAACGACAAAAAACTTGATAATTCATTTGATAACAGAAAAATGAATGATAACATCTGAAAGCAAAACAATTCAAGGAAAAAATAATAATTTACAGGAAAGTCTAATTTTTTGCCCTTTACTCATAAATCTAGAAATGAAAAGTTGGCAAAATCCAAACAGATTTAGACAAAGCATTTTTTGCAGAGAAAAGCTGAAAGAATTCCAAGTGAAGAAGAATAAAATACGGGGAGTTCGTAGAGATGAGAAAATGGTCGCATTTTTAAATTTCAAATTTTATTAATGAAGCGTTTTCTTTTTTGAACATATATTGTATATATAAAATATGCAAAACTTTTACTGCTCTTTATTGTTTGATTCCGATTTCTGAATCGCTTCCGGTTCCTTTGGGGATGCTCGGATCGGAATGTTCCGCGCTGCAGGTGAACCGATAGTTGCTTTGGATGCGCCAATTGTCAAGACTCCTTTATCAGATAAATGCGATTCTATCGTGTCAAGTTGAACTTCTTCTGGCATGACAAATTTTCGAACGAAGTGACGTTCGATACTGCCATTCCCTGACTGATCGGTACGCTCCTTATGATGACCCTCAATAATTAGTTCACGATCTCGAACCGATACCGAAAGTTCTCTTGGGTGAAAATGCGAAACATCGACTTGAATCTCAAACTTATCTTTCTCATTCACTACCTGAAATTCATCAGATATAAGTTTAAAATGTGATATTAAAAAAATCATCAAAAAATCGAAATTTTGAGGGAAACTTTCCAGGTTTATCACTCTTTCCATAGCGAATGTCAATTCAATAAAAACAAAAAAGGTGGTTGATTTGTGCAGCTGTGATCACATTTTCATAAACAACAATTAAAATCAATTCAGTAATGCGATATAAGCATAAATACATCAATCACCCACCTCGCCGAATGTATTTCCGATATTGCATTCGTTCAAGACCGGCTGATGTAGCCAATATGGTGCGACAGCTTGTAGCGGTCGATATAAAGATTTGTCATCGAATGCGTTGTCAAAAAAGTTCACCATGAAACGTTCCATCGGTGAGGTAAAGAAGTAATCGCGTGGATTGTAGCGGAAAAGCGACATCGTTGAGTTCACTTAAATTGAATGATCGCCGAATTCTTCTAAATTAGGAAATATTAAAAAAAAAACCATAATCACAAAAATCGAAACCGCCAACGATCAATAGGACAAGTATCACAAGCGTTGTCGGAAGTTTTGCGTTGTAGAGAAGACAGTGAAGGTGAGGAAGAAAGAGAAATTAGACGTCCTAACAATCCAAAGCTTACAGTCAGATCATACAAAATATTACAATGAGAGATGTATGGCCTTAGGCTCATATTCGAATCCCGAAGTAATTTGAAGAGCCGAAAAAACAACAATGAAAGTGCAAACAGAGGAACCGCTGGATGGATTAATCCCTCCCCCACCGACCGCCAACACTACCGGGGAGATTCCTTGACCGGATCCGGCTGGCAACGATTATGCCGACTGAAATGCTCGCTTTATGCCGGCTTTCGCTCCATTTATATAGTCTTTAGATAGGAATTTTCCAGAACTCTCGCGAACATACACAATGCCTCTCACGCGTATCGATTAAACCTTCTCTGCGCCTAACACAGTCAAAAGATCATTCTGGAACGTTCGCGAATGTTTTTTCCCTCTCTTTGCTGTAGTTTTTCTGCACAAATGAGCCGAAAATAAACGTGAATCATTTCAAAATCTTCATGTAAATAAACAATTACTAATTGGTAATGAGGTCAACGTGTAATTGATGGCACGGTGATGTCATCAATTTCATATTAAATTCAATTGTGAATGAATCAAATGTAATCGAATTGAAATATTCTTAAATTTGCAGTAAACAAGAATGAACTTTAAATGACCGTATGTTTATTATATTACAAATAATAGTATAATTATTCAATAGGTATCAAATTTACAATGCCATGGTTTATTCTTTTCAAGATTCACTGCTTAGTCGAGTCGAGAAAAAAAATTTAGGATGTTGAAAAGGAAATATTTCAGTTTAAAATATCTATTTCAAATTAAAATTAATAAAATATAGCGATATGAACATAACACTTTCGTATTAACAATCATTCAACTTAAATTTTTATTTCTCATCGAAATGATAGGTGAAGGAGTTTAGAGAAGAAAGTTTCTGTTTTTTTTTTGTATTTTAAGATGACAAAAAGAATTTACTCTAAGATTTGCAAAATTTACTGTTCCTTGTCTAATCAAAAATTGTAGCAATAGTACAGTTAAATTGTTTCCATTCAGAATTTCTTAAGAAAGCGATTTTTAGCTACTATTGAAAAATACGACTTACTAAATCAGCAAATGCGAATATTTTATTGATTATCGATTTAATAAATCTCATGCAGTGATATTTTATCAAACAATTTGCCTTAAGACTTTGGAATTTTTCACAATCTTGATGAATTTGAATATCAGCGACAGGAATAAACTAAATTTATTTTATTATGCTGCAAATCTTTGTGAGATTCCTGTCCTTCCATATCTAACATA